AAAAAGTTTCTATCAATACGAATAGCTGTGCAGTCGCTGTCACTTTCCGGAGGTCAAGGATACTTTAAGGCTAAAGACACACACGGCTGTTTTCGCCGAGTCGGTCGCTGCGCGAAAGCGCGTACCGTCGTTCGACTCAAATGCATTACTTTTTTGTGAACCGCTTCGTGTGTTTTGGCAGAGGCGGCCAGCTGAGTCGGCGGAAACAGCCGTGTGTATCTTTAGCCTAAGTGTTCATGTAAGCCAGCGAAAAGACAATGTTTGTCAAACAGATGTGTTTGTGTGAGAAAAAAATTTCTTTGTAATTCAAGATGTCATAAAAGCGCACCTTGCACTAATAAATAATAAACCATATTATCAGTCATTTTATAGTTTTCATGTAGCTTTTGTTTTATTTCGTTCCAATTTGCACGTTCTATGATTTTTACTTTCCTATCTGTATACAGATATAAGGAAAGTATAGGAATCATGATTTTTTTCGACCTCGAGTTTTCGACGGATTTTTACGTTTTGAGGTCCCCTGAATCCGTTTTGACTATTTTCGCGATGATGTCTGTGTGTGTGTCTGTCTGTGTGTGTGTGTGTGTGTGTGTGTGTGTGTGTGTGTGTGTGTGTGTGTGTGTCTGTCTGTCTGTGTGTGTGTGTGTGTGTGTGTGTGTGTGCGCGTGCGTGTGTGTCTGTGTGTCTGTATAACGCATAACTCATGAACCGAAACACAGAAAAACACCAAATTTTAAACGTAAGCTTTGTTTCAGCGTCTGATGAGCTGATTAGATTTTGGGCAGAGTCGGAACATTTGGGGGGGTACTTTATAGGTGGTCATTTTTATATTTTATGGAATATATCTGTTATTTACGTTTGGAGAAGAAAATTCTTTAAATAAAAGTTACTTCTAATATTATTATCTATAATTTTTGTTCTATACAAAATTTTCCTAAAATGGTCCGTATTCGAGAAATTTGACAAAATGTAAAAAAAATATTTTTTTATAAAAATTGTTCAAATAAAAGTTGTTTGTAATATAATTCTCTATAATTTTTATTCTCTACATAATTTCTCTAAAATGGACCGTATTCGAGATATTTGAGAAAATGTGTAAATTTCGAATTTTGAAGAAAACTCAAAAACGGATAAAGAAAAAAACATTAAATTTTAAACTTAAGGTTTATTTCGGCCTGACGTGAAATGATTAGATTTTGGACAAAGTCGGAACATCTGGGGGGGTACTTTATGGGAGGCCGTTTTTATATTTTATGGAATATATCTGTTATTTATGTTTGGAGAGGAAAATTGTTCAAATAAAAGTTACTTCTAATATTATTATCTGTAATTTTTGTTTTATGTAAAAATTTCCTGAAATGGTCCGTATTCGAGAAATTTGACAAAATGTACAAAATTCTGATTTTTATTATGAAAGTTTTTGAAATAAAAGTTGTTTGCGATATCGATCTCCATAATTTTTGTTTATACATGATTTTTCTAAAATGGACCGTAATGAAAAAATTTTAGGAAATTAAAATTTTTCATGAATATCTATAGAAAAATGTTTCGAGGTAGATGTATGTGGACAATGTATATATTTAGTTTATCCTCTAAACATTTATATAACTAGATAGGAAAGTCATGTGTTGGACACATCAGATTTTTTTATAGTATGTATGCTCTAGATGTGCGAATTTAATTTCATATTTTATTTTTATTTTTTGTCCAAACCATTCTCTTGTGTAATTACATACTGACAATAAATGAGTTTGTTTTAAATTTAATACTTAATACCCTTTCCTGTATTACTGGCAACACTGTCCTAATTACAATGATTGACTAAACCCAACAAACAGCATAACTTAAATCATTTAGTTAGTTACAGCATTTGACTGAAACGATTCCGTCATTACTGCCTGAAACCATTAGGCAAACTGTGTACCAAATGTAGAGTTACGCTGTTTTCCGGCAATACATGAAATGACTAGGCATTTTAGGGAATGACGGATTTCACTAATATACATATACATCACTAAAACTAAAGATCGCAGTTACCAAATACCTAAACAAACTAGAGGTTCATTCTACATTCAGAGAGAACACATAATACTAAAGAGACTGGATCCTACTGAGCACAACACTATAAAGTTGCCTAAAAAAATTGACAGTATTTCTAGTATTATATTAAACCCATTCCTGTCATTGCATAAATTGGACCAACAGAACTTAAATAAAAAAAAATAATGACTACAAAAAAACGGAAATACCAAAAGTTGCATAATTTCTAAATTCCAGCCTCACCATTTTATCATTAAAATAAATAGTTACATATTCAATTACCAAAACGCTGTATGTATACATTATCACTTTTTTTATCAGTTCCCATAAGTTTAATTTTCTAGTTTTTTTCCCAATTATTTATTTACATTATCATAATAAATTACATTGGAACTAGTTTTTTAAAAGTTGCATAATAGCTGTAAAATCGGATCTCCGCCGTTTTTTTACAAAGTTATTTTATTGACAAATGTTGCTTGCTTAGTAGTGTTCATTATTTGTAGATGATTTATAGTCAAGTAATAAATTTAATTGAACAATATTGGGGTACCTAATTATAGGCAGTAATTTACTAAATATTGAATAGAAGGTTCAAAACTTTTTTAAATGTTTTACTTAATTGGCTACTCAAAAAATAATTTGTTTCATAATTGGTATCGTACTGTACAATTTACAAATTTATTTTAAATGTTCCTCGATGCTTACTATATAACGTACAGCGCCACCTGCTTTCATCTTTCATGGCTTAGAGAGGGTAAGCGTCTTCGACACATATTTTTCTCACTGAGTTAACCATTTCATATTTATTTTGTCTTTGGTATTATGTACTTTAAAAAATTGCATTAGACTTGTTTTGATTATTTCACCAACTAATTCAGAATCAGTGAATTACACTCGTTCATCTGAATAGGTTGATTATACTTAATCGCAACATGTTCTTGAAAAATGAATTCACCAACTGTATTTGAGAACTGAATTGACGGTTCCGTTTGAACCAAATTAAACCCATTGTTTCATCAAATCAAATACATCAGTATGATACTCCTAACCATTAATATAAAATTGATTAAGTATATTTTAAGATAACTATCATCTTTAATGATAACATTGTTCTAGTAATGTTTATTATTTATGTAATTTAATATTGTTTAACAAACTTAATAATATTTTTATGAATGTAAAATGTTGCAATGAGTAATAAAACTTTATTTATATTAATTTTTTTTAGAGAATTACTCATGGATTTTAGGTAATGAGCTAAATTTATGTACCAAAGTCAAATAAACAATTAAGTAATATTATTGGTTCTAGAAATATAAAATAATTTGACTATCGAAACAGAAAATAAATAAGAAACACCCTGAAAAATTATGACAAAAAACCAAACTACATTCTTCCAGCGATATTATTAAATTGCAATAATCTCCAGAGGTGCCTCTATACAATTTTTAATGCATCTACTGCCTCATTATTTGAGAGTTTATTTAATTTTATGATTAGTAATTAAAGATTTTTACCCAGCTCACCAAGTTATGGCTAAAATATTCACAATTAATTTATTAATTAGGTAGGTAAATCATCAGAAATATAGGTAGGTACCTTGGTAAAAATAATTCGAGTTTTTTACTTAATGTATAATTATTTATATATAATAAATTTTGTAGAATAACCCACACTTAAGACAAAAATTGTTTTCAAAAATTAAGACATGGTTAAATTAAAATACATAGTCATTAGGTTACTTGGAAAACACTATCTTAAATATGTTTCTAGAAGGGTGAACCACTACCGATATACAGGTACGTTTTCACTAGAAATCACTGTCATCACTACAAATTGACTCGAAATTTCCAAAATCATAACCAAAATCACTGCAAAATCAATTCACTGCTTAAAAATATAAATGCAGCAGCTTTGGGATCAAAAGACAAGGGAAGAGTCCATAAAAAAGGTTTATATATAAAATAAAGGGGGATTTTTGGCCAAATAACTGAAATTACATATATAAAATCAATATAATTTCTGAAATATGGGTACGTTTTGATATTAATGGTTCACCCCTCGGTTTTTCTCATATTAATGCAAGTTAAAAGTAGTTTTAGCTGTAGTTTTTTCAAATTTATTAAGTGCTGTTGAATTTTCATTTAATCTATGTCACAATCCATGACACATATATAAAATGTTAATTGTTTTACTTAATTATAATAATATGAATTAATTTTAATGGTGTGGGACACTGTTACAGTAAAATATAAATTATAATATATAGGTCAAGGAGGTAAAAAATTTCTAGATTTACAAGTTCTGTATTACTTATCAACTTCATATTCAAATAAAATTATTTCAGGTAAATAGACAACATCAGTCACCATTTAGAACTAGGATATAATTAATTGAATTAAATGAATGTTAAATATCATTTAAAAAAAAATCAATGTTAAAAACTTGATGATAAAGTGGAAGCATAAAAACAAGTGTTGCTGGAATAAAAAAGTGGATTTTTACATGGCTATAAGCTGCCGATTACTTGTTGAACAAAACTGATCACTAGGTGTGTAATTATTCATCTAAAAATGTGGGTAACAGTGAAAGCTTAATAGGAAGGAACTTCCCGATTCAACTATTTTCACTTTTAAACACGGCCCCACTTCTAAGTAGTCTAGACTTTAGAAATTTGGGGCGTCTCCAAATTTGCCCTTGTGACCACGGACATTCCGAGATGGTCTTAATAAATTACAATATAGTCAAATGAAGATTTACCCCAAATCGAACCCTTGCATCCCAAATCAATCTAAAATCATATTTTCGTATGCCGCTGACATTGAAAAGTAATTAAATACTTCCGAATTGACAAGCTGAACAGAAAAAGTTGTAGATAGGTATATGGAATGCAAACGTCCTTAGGAAAACTATGTCATATGCAATATGTTCGAATTAGTGGCTAAATTATATTTACTCACTTGGTTTTCACAGTAACGGTGTATAATCAAACGATCAAACTATATGAAAACACCATTTTTATCACAAAAGATGAAAAGATAGTAAAAATAATTAATAAACATCAATCACGTCGCACGTCACTTGGAGAAATGTCACACTAAATTGACATCTGTCATTTGCAGGATGGTCGCTATTAAAAAACAAAAAAAAATGGTACAAAACGGAAGCACAGAATCCACGAAACAACTTTAAAGGACACCTTTTGTGTTGGTATTTCTGGGAATAGATTTTAAGACGCAATACATTAATACAGAGATCTGCATTTCGGTTACTGTTATTTTAGTTACTCATAGATAGATGGCGAGACTAGTTTTCTACTTATTTAAAGTTACAATACAGGGGTTGTTTGATAATTAATTATACTATTAATTTTTATACCGATTTTGCATCCAGTGGCGACTGGTGGATAAGTGCTGTAGAGCTACAGAACGGCTAAACATTGCAAGTATCTCACAGAAATTATTTTAGATATTCTAAAATATACGTAAAATAGATTTTATGAATATAATATCAATAATTTTAATTATTAAATAGTAAATACTGCATCGCTTGGGTCACCCGCGTTCATCGTCTCCTTTAGTTGTTCTAGTAGTCTTAATAGGCACATGCCTGTTAAAAAGATTAATTGACAAGTTTGTGAACAGTGAAAAATTTTAAAGAAGAAGTCAAAGCACATTTTTTTATTGTTGATCAAAATACTGTTGACAAGAAAGTTTCACTGTTATTAAACTTGTTAATTAATCTTTTTGAGAGGCATGTACCTATCAGACTACTAGAACAACTAAAGGAAACGATGAGCGAGTCGGAGTCCCATCCACACCAAATTAAAAAAAAAATAGATATAAATTGTAAATTCTAATATTATTTTATACAATTTACAGAAAATAAACCAGGCGGAGGATCACAATGCTGCTAATGAACTGACTGAGAACAATTAGAACTGAGAAGCTTTGTACAGGGTAATATAGAATAGTAAACCTTATATGGGTGTATATACCACATTAAAAATACAGGGTGTTTCGATTAAAATTATAAAATTACCTGATGTTATGCTACTGAAATGCTGATTTTCTTTATGTATATATGGGTAATTTTCGATATTTTAAATATATCAAATAATGGATGTACACTGGATATGTTAAATATACAGGGTGTCTGTAAAAGGTCTTTACAAAAACATACCACATATTCCTTAGACCAAAATAAGTCGATTTAAGTAAAATTACCTTTGTACAAAGTTGCTTCGTTTGTGCTCCAGAGGGCCTTGAAGTTACAATTTTTAAATCGTTTTTCCCATATAGATTTAAAACGGCATATGCGATTTTGCTGAAATTTGGTATATTGGTAGAGTTTTATGTGGCAAAAAAATGGTATTAAAATTTTGTCCGATAATAATACATAGGCGTAGAACTTGATTTTTTAAATAATTGCATCTTTAAAAATTCTACGCCAATGGAAGAAAAGGAGTTTGAGTATGAAATTTAGATTGCGCAACTCATTTACTTTAAAGAAGGTACTCTTGATAAGACTCGATTACTCTCATGGTTTTCGCTAAATTTCTGTTTTAATAATTTAGAGTGTATAGGTTTCACAAAAATATTTATTTACAACATAATCAACATAGAGATTTTACAAAAATTGTTCAAAATGTTCACCATTTTCACGCATACAAAGATTTATACGTCGAAGAAAATTAAAATGTATCCTTTCCATAACTTCTTCATCACCTCTAAGATCGTTTATTGCATCTTGAATACGTTGCCAGAGTTGTTCCTCATTTTCTACAGGTTCTCTGTAAACTGTGGATTTCAGATGTCCCCATAAAAAGTAATCCATCGGTGTTAGGTCTGGGGAACGTGGTGGCCAGTTTACAGGTGCGTCATTACCTCTGCCTATCCATTTGTGTGGATATTGTTCATTCAAGTGGTTTCTAACGTTTAAAGAAAAATTTGGTGGAGCTCCATCTTGCATAAACCACATATCTCTCCAAAGTTGGAGAGGTAAATCTTCTAACAATTCTGGCAACGTATTTTGTAGAAAATCCAAATAATTTTCTCCAGTTAATCTTCGTGGAAGTATGACAGGACCAACAATGAAATTACCAATTATTCCAGCCCACACATTAATTTTGAATTCGTGCTGAAAATGGTTTACCTTTATTGCATGCGGATTTTCAAGGGCATAAACATGTTCATTATTGGTATTAGTTATACCTCTTCTTGAAAAACCCGCTTCATCGGTAAAGAGAACCTTCTTGACAAAGTTTGGATCTCTTTCTTTGCATATTAACAAATCGACAAAAACCCAAATGAATTTGAGGATCATGGACTAATAATTCTTGTACTGGCTTCTTATGGTATGGATATAGCAATAATTGTTCTCTAAGCACTTTATGAACGACATCTTTACTTACTCCTAGTTCCCTTCCAATTCGTCTGGTGCTTAATTCTGGATCTTCTTCAACACGTTCTAAAATGTCTTCTTCAACTTCAGGAATCCTTACAAAACGTTCTCTTCCATTATCAACAGTGTTGGGAGCAAAGTAACCGGTCTCCCGAAGACGTCTCTCAACAGCAGCAAAAGTTGGGTGGCTAGGTACACGACGATTTGGAAACCTCTCTCGAGCATTTCCTTCACAAAATCCTAATGTCAGTAACATATCGGTATATTCTGCATTGGTATATTGTACAGCCATATTAATAAACCACGCATTTGTTTTTTTAATTATTGAGTCAGATAGAACACTTTCAATCGTTAACAAGAGATTAGTTGTAAAAACTTGACAATATTTTTATTTAGATGAAACTATGGAAACCAACAATAAATGTTTTTGTATACGTATTGCAGGCAAATAATTAATATTCCTCAAAAAAACGTACATGGCAAGAATCGAGTATTTTTGTTAAAAGTCTCGATTAGAGTTGTTGAAGAAGATATGAAAAAAGTAAATTTTTATGTTTTTCATCGTATAAAATTTTGTCCGATAATAATACATAGGCGTAGAACTTGATTTTTTAAATAATTGCACATTTAAAAATTCTACGCCAATGGCAGAAAAGGGGTTTGAGTATGAAATTTGGATTGGGTACTCATTTACTTCAAAAAAGTACCCTTGATAACACTCGATTTACTCTCATGGTTTTGACAAAGTTTGTATTTTAATATGTAATTATTGTTTATGTTCTAAAATTACTAAAATGCAAATTTCGTCAAAACCATGAGAGTAATCGAGTCTTATCAAGAGTACCTTTTTTAAAGTAAATGAGTTGCGCAATCTAAATTTCATACTCAAACTCCTTTTCTTCCATTGGCGTAGAATTTTTAAAGGTGCAATTATTTAAGGTAATTTTACTTAAATCGACTTATTTTGGTCTAAGGAATATGTGGTATGTTCTTGTAAAGACCTTTTACAGACACCCTGTATATATAGGATATATCCAGTGGTTACTTATGAACCTCTACTAAAGATACCCATTAGATATTTTACTGGATATCCATAGAACATCATCTATATCCTGGATATAGAGAGACATTTGGATATCCACAAAAGATATTATTCTGTGTATTGCAACAGCAGCAACTTCTATTCAAAGAAATGGTGGGCCCACGCAGAACAAACACCGTTTATTTTAAAATAAAATGAAACAAAGTCATGTCACACAATGTCCTTTTACCGTTTATTTTCTTCAGTCATTTAACAAGGCCAATGTGTTTCACTGATTTATTCCATGATTTTTAAATATTGCTTAGGTCAGTATAAGAAACCTCTATTATTATTTTTTCGATTGAGGTCATCATGTTCAATATACGACTTGCAACTAGCGATCTCTATGAGGTAGGTTATATTATGATTGGCAATCCCAAAAAACTCCGATATACCAATTTTAAGCCATCTACTTAATAAAACGACGAAAATTTAATGAAAAACGTATTTTTTAAAATTAACTTTGTGAGTTATGATGGCCAAAAACGAAAAAAATAATAATAGGGGTTCCTTACACTGACCTAAGGAATCTATTGTTAACGGATTGAAGTACTTTTTTGGGACACCCGGTATATCGCAAAGGAAAATGTTTTTTATAGATTGGTACGGACGATACAAACACGTAATATTAAAATTTATATTTTAGAGGGTAATCATTTTCTAGAGTACGGTATGTTTCTTATATACAACTAATGATATACCTACTGAGTGGTGGCGTTAATTAATTATGTAAGGTATTCAAGGGGGGAGGGGATCAAGCTAAATCTTTCCAAATTTCACTTGGGGGATGGGAGGGTCTTTGTAAATCTGACGTAATTTTTTTCTAGTAGTGAACCTGTGTTAAATTGCGTGAAAGTAAAGTTAAATTAAAGTAAAGAATGTTTATAGAAATTTTATATAACGGCAATATTCTCAAATAATAGTCTTTGCTAGTCTTAAATAAAAGTAATAGAACATATTGTATTTTTTTTTAATTCACAGCATTTACAGCCAAAACACAAATTTTGAAAAATCTCACGTGATATTAGGGGAGGAGGGAGGAAGGGAGTTGAGCAAAATCTTACGAAATCTCACCAGGGGGGTCAAAAAATCCTCAAAAATACCTCACGTAATTAATGGAGACCCCCTATTCTTGAATATTTGATTAATTATGATATTCCTTGTCTATTATAATTTTTAAAGTTAAATTAATACACTGTAATTGAAAAAATAAAGTAATTATACCAAAATAACACCTAAATAAAGTAGGTAACCTCAAAATTTTATTCAAAATGGCTGATGTTACTTATTTCACGTGGTGTCATCTCTTCTCCTTCACACTCTTCACACCACCCTGGTAGAACCCTAAAACCATTCTTCTTATCTTTTTGCTACCGCCTATGTTCACACCCCTTAACTGCATTTGTTATCTGTATTCAAGCTTACGATGTTAAAACATCATCTAATTATTATCTTAGTTTTACCGTTGACCACCCTTTTGCCATAGGCGGCCCTAGAATAAAATTTGGAGAAGGGCACTTCATAAATATAGGGTGCACTTCATACTGAAATGATGTACATATCTTAATCGTAGGTGTGACGGTGTGCGGTGTGACAGACTTGGATGATTCGAAATCATCCATTATTAACGGGTTTACTGCATCAAATTACCTAGATTTTTATGGATTTTGCATAAACTGATATTTAGCCAAAAA